AAGACAAAGACAGTTGGAGAGGTGGATGGAAAACAGCAGATGATTTTAGGACAAAGGAGTATGAGGGAGGAAGAGAGAGAACAACAGCAGAGCTGACAGCTTCGGGGGAGAATGTGGAGATAAGGGAGGGTTGGAGTGAGAAAGAAAGAGCTAGAAAACTCAAGCTGGCTGAGAGAAAGTCTGTTGATTCTACGAGCACACGGTGTCACAAATCATTTACCTGAGCAGGCAGAGGAACTGACCCAAGGTGAGCTCGAAGGGAACCAGGAACTTTGTTTTGTCCAACAGGGGGAGAGTCTTTTCACGGATGTAACGCTCAACAATCACCTGAACACAGAAACACTCATCAGGGGTCAGCTGGTGGTGCGTTCACATGCCATAGAAAGTTTAAAACTGGCTTTCTGTGTGCATGGAAACTTACCGGCAGTTTGTTGGGGAATTTAGTCCGAATGCTGCACACTTCATCTTTTCTTGTTTCTGAAAAGAAGTACACTTTGTAAAATCAGCATCAGCACATTATGAGGTCATGCAAGTAACAAAATGTGACTTACCGAGGCATTTCCTTTGCTTAAAGGGCATCATTTCCATTGATTTCTCATAAGGAGCCATGTTTAGTTTGAAGCTTTGGGCGGTGTGCAGAGACTAGCGGTGATGGAGGCGGTGCGGCGGTCTTTCCCGGGCTGACAGTGAAGTCCCCTCGGGTGGAAATCAGCAAACCCCACTGAGCTGCTGAGACCGCTGGTGTTTTATAGGAGACAGGAGCAGGGAGGGGTCAACATGTGACACCAACACACACTGACACACTCCTCGTCCTGGTGGGCAGTGTGTGTGGATGCAGATTCACACATACTAGTTATCTCACAGGGCATTCTCACACATACTGGTGATATTAGGCGCCACTGTCACGTACACATTCGTAATGGGGGGGTACGAATATGAAGACAGGAGTGTAATGAGGGCAGCCCACCATGTGAGGAACATAAACACCACATGATGTTCAGACAAACAGGGACACCAGATGGACCTGCTGCCACCTTTATCATGAGACGTGACCTTTGACCTCACTGCCACATTACAGTTGTCACACTATTGTTTCATCAATTTTAAGAACAATCATAGTCAATAGTTACACTCACTGGAGTGATGATATGAGTCATTATTCCACACTGCAGTGGTGAACGAAGTATTCAGCTCCTCTACTTATGTAAAAGCACCAATACCACCCTGTGAAAACACTCCGCTGCATTTATAATGTTACTTACGTAAAAGTATGTGAGTATGATCAGGAAAATGATAGAAGATTACAAAATCAGTACGGATCTGATTAATAATACAAAATATAATCAACAAAATGTAGATTAAGTTAGAACTTTATTGATCCTCAGGGGCATGGACGGTTTACTCAGTGGTCCTACTGGGAAAAAGCCCAGGGGGCAGGAGGCCCCCCTAATCTTCACCAGCAAATTGTCACTCAAATGAACACATACTGACCAGAAAGAGACTCCGAATGACCACAAAGAGACATAAAAAGACCAAAGAGATGTAAAGGCACTGAAAGGAGACACACAATAATTACAAAAACTGGCAAAACAACCACAAAGAGAGACAAAACTACTACAAAGTGACACAAAAAGACTCAGATTTATTCCAATAAGATAGAAAATGACATAAAAGAGACCCAAATACCTACAAAAAGACACAAATTTACCTCAAAAAGACACAAAATGACCTCAAAGAGACACAAAACAACCACAAGGAGACACAAAATGACTTCAAAATGATACAAAATTACCTTAAGGAGACTTAAAACAACCACAAGGAGACACAAAATGACTTCAAAAAGACACAAAATTACCTCAAAGAGACACAAAACAACCACAAGGACACACAAAATGACTTCAAAAAGATACAAAATTACCTTAAAGAGACACAAAATTACAAAAAAAAAAGACACGAAATTACTACAGGGAGACACAAAATGACTTCAAAGAGACACAAAATGACCTCAAAAAGACACAAAGCTACCTTAAAGAGACACAGAATGACTTCAAAAAGACACGAAATTACCTCAGAGAGACACAAAATTACTACAGGGAGACACAGATTGACTTAAAAAAGACACAAAATCATCTTAAGGAGACATAAAACAACCACAAGGACACACAAAATGGCCACAAAGGAACACATAAACAACAAAAAGATGCATAACAACTATAAAGATGTGCAAACCCACCGAAGTCTGTGTGTCTTGCTCCTGTGTCGGTTCAAAAGCTACCCAGTATGAAGAAATAAAAATGAACTTTATCTTTACTAGCTGCAATGTTATTAATGATAATGAAATAATAATACATTATACTTATATAACGCTTTTCATGGCACTCAAAGACGGTGTTAAAGTGACTGACACATGAATGCATGACTAGTTACAATCAATAGTATACCTAATGAATTGTCTATTATTCTGAAATGGGTCATTCTGCATAATTAGTACAGTTTTGAACACAAAACCTCAACATACAGAGTACTTCTATATGGAGGTATTACTACTTTTACTTAAGTAGCTTACAAGATGTGAGTACTTTGTCTACCACTGCACACTCAGTTGCCAGTTTAAAATGTAAATGTAGCTAAACTAAAGCAGTCTGATACAACAGCTCTGCTGTGGATCCGACCTTCAAAGAAGTTACAATCATCAGTTTTGTTGAAACTATTTAAAAGAAGTTTTGTTTTAACAGTGTGATGGTGTTGGAGGCTGCTGTTGAACTATGCAGCATTGTGCTTTTTCTCATATGCTGTCCTCTCCACTGTAAATAAACCCACAACTGTTTGTACACATAATTTAACCCAAATATGTAAAAGCCATTTTTCCTGTTACAGTTCAGGATCCAGCAGCCTGTAGAACAGATGGCTGTGGATGAAGATCACCCTCTGCTGGCTGAAAGGTGGCACTAGGGCAAAGTGCACTGCACCTGTCAAACTCACAGAATACACACACATAACTGACAAATCATTATCATATTAGATGTTTTTCCCCTGCAGCTTCACCATGAATTAGTCTAGCTGATAAAACCTGAATAATCGTCCTTTTTTTTACTTTGATATTCATAAATGGCATGACTTGTATGAAGGGTTTAAAGGAATGTAAATGCAGCTCAAGTCTGTTCAACTTAAATGAGGATTATGCACCATTTGAACTCAACGTAAACTCAAATAATACAGTAAAATATAAAAAATAAAATGAAACATTGCCTATAACTGCAGATACCTGACAGCCATTACACCCAGAATTTGAGCTGCCATTATATGTCCTTTGATTTAGTGTCGCAACAACCAGCAGGAGCATAAGAAGTCCTTTATTCCCTTTGTCATACAGGCACTGCACACAGAATAGCTGCGTATGTTGATTTATAAGATGTGCTCTCTTTTATCATTTACAAAACATATACTCCTGAGACCCTGTGTCCTCATATGAGGACATCACATTTTGGGTTTACTTGACCTTATATTTTATTCTACTTAACTTAGACCTGCTGTCCTCGTATGTGGACACTTTTTTTGTGCCATCTAGTGGCAGTAATACCACAATACACTAATCCATGTAAAAACAAGATGGCAGCCATCTCTGCCAGGTCAAGCTGCAGCTGACCCCAACACAAAAATGGACAAGGTCCAAAACCTGATCACATTTAATGGTTGAGATGTATTTATTTATGATTAATAATGTTTGTAGTTTGATATGGCAACAAAATTGACCAATTTTAGCTACAGGAACGAGATAAGATGCTGTTAATTAAGAAGCACTGGTGTGAGGACACTGGGACTTCATTATTGTCTCATTTGAAGACATTGGGACTTATTAATCGTTGACTATGTTGAGTTTTTCTCCCCCACTTTATTTATTAGTTTCCACATTTAAGAAAACATGTATACAAAAAATTATATCTTTTCTAGCTGCAAAAATTGTAACGTATTTCTGGGGGGTGACTGTGATGACTGTCTTCACAATGAAAACCAAAAATTGCTGTGAGAGGATTTGGATCAATTCTTTTTCCATTGTATTTTGGAAAGGGCTTCAAAAAATGGAGAACCAGTAAACTGAGAGATCTGGGCAAGACCAGAGTGTATAAGCTAGTGTGGCAGGAGAACTTTTACATCTATTACAAGAGTCATCAGCTGAGGGGTACATCTGTGAGATTTTGACTTTAGTGAGATGAAGTCTGTGTACCACCTTGAACTGAATCAGGCCATGCGTGGCACATACTGATGAGAAATGTATTCTTGAGAACAGATGGGGTCCTACTGATCCCAAAAAGCTAAGAAGAATTAAAAATACACACCAAACAAAGGTTCAGGTCTCAGGACGATGTTGCTGCTACCTGCCTATTTGCACTATTGCACCTTCTATACTGTATATTTGTACTTTTTTAAAAGTGTTTTTTTATGTATTGTTGCTGTGTTTGAGAGAAGCCAAAGACAAATTACCCCTGAGATGGACAATAAAGTCTTTCTAATCTAATAAAACTACATTTGGCACCTTGTTTGTGCTGCAACTGGCCTTTTTCGGAGCAGCCATTTTAACCTGTTATAGCAGGACAAGTACAGGTGTTACTGATAACACTGACAATATTCATGCGCAAAACCATCATTTTTACACCTGTTTTCTTTCCTACTGTGACAAAATGTCCTGAAAATGGTGAATCCCCTTCTCAAAGGTTGAAGTTTTGCATTTTATACTAGTTTCCTGTTCAAGATGACACCACAGATCATGATGAGGTCACCTTTTGACCTCACTATCTCCATGGGAACACTGTAGGAATGTGTGTCTGTCTTCTGGCATCCTGCACAGTGAAGTTGGACAGTCTGGGGGATTTTTCCATGCGTCTATTCGAAAAACTTCCCCGTCCAATGGGTGCGCAGCGCTGGTGCAGCGGCTCCTCCTCTCCGCTGCCTGCTCCCACATGTAACGTTATCACCCTCCGTCTGTCTGTTGCATTGTCTCATTGGGGACGCAGCGTACAGGAGCACAGCACCATGGTAACTCCACCGGACCGGGAAGCTCATAAGTGACATTTAAGAGAGAAAAAGGATCGAGTCAACAGGAAATGGAGACATGGTTGGTTGATGTTTCCTCGGTGTGCCGGTGGACTCATTAATTCAGTGCCAGTGCGCAGGGCCGCCTGAAGCTGTGGCTGCATGGCACGTTAGAGATGGTGATTATATTTTCTTTATCGCGTTAATTCAAGCGGGTACTATGCTGCTGTCGCTCCGCCGGACCTGTGTTGCTCTACCTGGAGCTGCACCTTAAGCCTGCTCGTTCCTCTCACCCGTTGCGCAGAGACTGAGCGGTGGTCAGCAGTGCGCCCCGGTTCCGCCTGCCCGGCACCCCGACGAGGATGGCCGGCCGCCGCGGCTGCGTGAACTCGCTGTGGTCGGGCACCGAGCGCGTCCGCATCGGAGAGCGCCTCAAAGCGACCCTCGCCGGGGTGATGGAGCTGGAGCTGCTCAGGTGCAAACACCTGGAGATGGTGGACGCCGCTCTAGAGGACCGAGCCGCTGAGGAGCCGCGGGCGGCAGAGGAGGAAGGGAGCGGGACCCCGGAGAGCGCCGCCTCGGAAGCGGAGCATGGCTCTGCGACATCCCGCAGGCAACAGGTCAGTCAGTGCGTCTGTCACCGAGCTCTACATGACGAGGTTATTAAATATGGATGCGGGGATGATGGTGATCTGCCAACAAGCCAGTCCCTCTGCGGCTCAGTGGGCAGATTTTATCACTGCCTGGCGGCGCATGGCTGTGCCGAGGGCTGAGCACCCAACTGATTGAGGTGGTGCCAGGGACCATCCAAGCATGCAGCCCGAGCATTTTCCACAGCAGCAGTGTGTGACCGTCACATGGAGCAAATGTCATTGAGGTCAGGGTGTCAGGACCAGCTCCTGTCTGGCTGGCTCTGTGCCCTGCCTCAAGGTTAGACAGGAGGATGTGGTGGGATACACACAGGCGCTAATTCAGGTGCAGGTATTAACGCACGAACCAGCAACCACACACTGCTGCAGATTTTTTTTTTGGCTCTTGCCGGTAAGCTCATCAGCTGTAAAGGTCACTTTGGCACACTGTTTGCATTCATATCACAATATGTGATGACAATATGAAGGTAGTCTCCATCACTGCCTGTCTACCTGAGCTAAAAGTGCAGGTTTGATCCTTCACTGTGAAATCCTGAATGCTCCAATGGAGTGTGACTGAAAGGTTATGGATGTGTGATCTTCAAACACACCCACATATAAAGTAACCCATTCACCAGCCCTGTCCTGAAATGCACACACAGGTCTTTTTGTGTTGAGAGTGAGGGGAATGTGACATGTAATACAGGAGGACAGGATGTGAGCAGGTCCTGTCCTGAGGCTGTAGGTGCTTTGGACTGTTGTTTGTGAGCATGAACTATATTTGAGCCTGGGAAGTTATCAAAAGGCAAAAATCTGTTGGAAAGGAGAGGATACAGGTGACTGTGAGTGCAGGATTTTTTTGGTTAGAGATGGGAGACGTGTTAAATGTTCTAAAATTGGCATTGGCAAGAAAATACTGAATCATGAGCTGAAAATGTAGTTGACTGGTCAGTGGGAGGACTGACAGCTTAAAGGGAAATGTAGGTGATGTTCAACCTGTTTTTGTGTCTAAGTTACTAAGAACAGTTTTTAAAATTGTTCCAGTATTGAGAGAGACTGTGAAACTGCAGTGTAACCATGGGCGGATTATGAGACAATGGGCCCCTGGGCACAGGTATGCAAAAGGCCCCACCACCTTTCCTACACAGGAGCAAGACACACAGACTTTGTGGTTGTTTTGCCTCTTTTTTTGTGGGTGTGTGTGTGTCTCTTAAGGTTGCAGTGATATATGATCCCAGTCTCACTTCGAAGTTGGCAATGACTTGTGGCGTCAGAAACCAATGAAAAAAGCTGCAATGTCAGGGGGAAAGGCATTTCTTTGTAGTTGTTATGCATCTTTTTGTTGGTTTGTGTTTCTTTGAGGTGATTTTGTGTCTTATTTTGGTTGTTATGTTTTCGGAAGGAGATTTTGCAGATAAAAACCAGGAGGCCCCAACACTTTGGGCCCCTCGGCCTGTGCCTGGTAGGCCTGTTCAGTAAACCATCCATGAATGTAATCCCTATAATCAACTCTGCACTGTCAATTTATGTCCATTACAGCGCTTGTTTTTGCCACTGACAGGCTCAGATTGTTATTACAAGTGTCTGACAATACTGCAGGAAGGAACCTATCAGAAATTAAACATTTTTCCTCACCTTTCACTGGTCAATTTATTATCGTGACAAAGTTTTGCTCAAGGACAAGTCTGGTTCTGAAATGTCAAGAGACGTGGCTTTTTGCATGAAAAACAGCGTTGGAAATGTTAATAAGATTTGGAGAGAGGAGTGCTGGGAAGAGTTAGTTGGGTTGGAGTACAGACAGTGTAGCTTAGTGTTATCTAAAAGGTTTTCAATGTCATGGCTGAATATTTCGGCAATGTGGAGTCTGCAAGATGTCAGGACAAAACTTCCCCTTGAGCAAGACTCGGTTACACACATTATAAAACACGCAGATGGTGTATTGAAGTCTGTTCTCCTGTCGAATGGTACTTTCCTTTAGTGCCCCCCTTCAGTGGTCAGGGTTAGGGATCGGGTTTGGTGCAGGTTTAGGTACAGGGAAACATACAGTATATTGAACGGGAGACAGTCTTTGACACAAGGAAAATGTTTCATTTCTCTGCAGGGTCCTTTCTGCAGTGTTGTCAGACACTTAACGTAACAATCTGAGCCTGTCAGTGGCAAAACAAGCACTTTAAGTGGACGTGCATTGACAGTGCACAGTTGCCTGTAGGATTACGTTTCGCTGCTGCCAGCTGCAGCGGTTTGTCTCAATATTGGACCAGTTCCAAAAATAGTCATTTTCATTGATCATTTAGAAACAAACACATCTGGAGATAGGGTCCAGGTTGAAAAATACATTTTGCAAAATGCAGAAACGGATGAAATTGACAGCAGTTTCGCACATCAAAAATTGACAGACGGTCCCTAGTTACAACGTATTAATTTGAGGACTTGCAGCTTTTCTCTGTCTTTTTTTTCTTAAAGTAAACTGAATATGTTTTAGTTTTGGACTATTAGTTGGACAAGACGAGCAATCTGTCAAAATGTCCCCTTAGGCACCGGGAAACTGTGATGGACATTTTCCCCCCATTTTTTAAACCATAGGGCACAATTGACAGCAATAATTACACCTTTCTTCACACAGATATCCTTCTTTTTATGACACAATCCTCTTTCCAGCAGTGAAATTCCTCTTTAAGACTAAAACATCATTAAAAAACAACTGACTCACTTTTTCCCATGGATCTAATTCTCTGCATTATACAGAGAGCACAGGGATGTGCATGTTATTCTGTCTGTCACGGATTATCTCGACATCATTTCCAGATCTGACAAGCAGTGACATGACAGGTTTGTGTTGTGTTCAGCGTCTGCTGGTGTTGGGAGCTTTTCAGATATTAAATCCTCGGCTGAGTTATTAACATTTGATTGTTATTCTGAGAAAGTAACAGGCACTCCATCCTGGTCACTTTGCACAGAGTGTTGTTACACTGTGAATATGTGTGCCTGATACTAATGAGCCGTATTAGTCAGCAGCCTGCAGCACATTAGTACATGTTCTGTGTAAATCAGGCCACAGCTGAGGTCACCTTTCGCAGAATGGCGTATTTATTTGACAAAATAATATTAAATCACATCCCTTACAGGCTGCACTGAAGGGAGGAGGATAACTCTAATAATAAAATGTGTTTTTATCAGTGCAGGGACAGAAATGGCAGTCCCATCTGAGGGCATCTGCATGGAAGTGCTGATCGTAATGTGCCGCCTTCCTCGCCGCCCACCTCTCAGCATCTCCTCTGTAGTTCCCCCCGCGGTGCTGAGAGATCCTGCGGAGAGGCCGAGCACCATTGCTCATTCTCACCTCTGAAGGGAGCTGCCAGTGTAGCAGAGCAGGCTGGCTCTCTGCCCTCTGCCCGGGCCGACCTCCGCCAACACACACACAGACAACATTTGCATAAATGGAGACAAATAGTTGTTGTAAAAGTGACCAGCTTTATTTAGACAGTGCAGCAGCTGGGCAGAGATAAAGGAAGAGAGGGTGGATGTTTATTTACCACCATGTATGTGGAGAAATAATGCTTAGTGTGAAGGTCTCACCCCAAAACACATTATATTCATTTCACCTGGAACTCATTACTTATGGCTTTGACAATCGCAGGTTGTTCCGCTTTTAAAAATAAAACTATTCTGTAAGCCGAGGATTAGATGACTCACAACATAATGCGCTCTACTTTAACACCAGCTTTGGTTTTTTTTTCCATTTTGGAATTAAACTCTTGAAATGTGATTCACCTTTTCTCTCTCTAATAGCACAGAGAGGGCCGGAGTTATCACTGTACAAATCCTTATTTGGCAGGTTGGGATTATGGCTGTGTGGTGTCATCTGTGATGGAAAAATGCAATTCAAAATGACATCTTTACGACCATGTGATGTGCTATGGCATCTGCTACACACGCAGGTTTTTGAAAGAAGTAATAACACCTCAAAAACAAATGCTGCTTCAATATTTTTATGGAACGGAAACATTTAATTTGCATGAACATGTTTTAGCATCATGAATAATTCAGCTCTGGGGTTTCAGTCTGTTTGTGAATAGATCCAGCTTTGATTTCCAAATGTAATATTCTGCATGTTGTGTAAACTAGAGGAGAACTTTTTGTAGCGTTTTCTTTTCACACTTTGCTGCAACTCTTCTGTCCTTCAGAATGGGTGTCGAGGCCAAGTTGTTGAAACACTGATTCAGTGTTCAAAAATAAAATTGTCCTCGCTGAAAAAAGCAGGACATGAGTGGGGGAAGTAGTCCTTCAGCTGCAGAGCTTCCGTTCGTTCACATAAACAGTGGAGCTGCAGCAATAATTTGATTAACTGATAGAAAATGAATCGGCATCTGTTTAAATTAAAGCAAAAATGCTGAAACCCAGTTGCCTTTTCTTGTCTTGAAGGGACAGTTCACCACAACATCAGACATACATATTATTCCTCTTACCTGTAGTGCTATAGATTGTGTGAGGTGTGAGTTGCTGAGTGTTGGAGATATCGGCTGTAGAGATGTCCGCTTTCTTTCCAATAGAATGGAACTAGATGGCACTCAGCTTGTGGTGCTCAAAGTGTCAAAAAAAAACATTTTAAAAACTCAACATCAATGCCCCTTCCAGAAATCATGATCTGGTTACTCAAGATAATCCACAGACCTTGTTGTGAGCAGTTTCATGGAACTTTTTTCTTTCTACTGAACTACACCCGCCAACCATATTACTGTGCAGAAGGAAGAGTGCATCTACTCATGGGCAAGAGGCTTGTGCTCATGATAGTGCGAGATGTAAACATTAATGGGGTCAAGGGGTGGGTACCGAACTTGGTACTTTTAAGGGTACCAACCGAATTACATTTGCACTGAGCCTAATGTCGGTAATTGAGAGTGTATTTGGGTGAGAGCCCTGGGTTTAGATGAGAGGTGAAAGTACTGCCCCACAGCCTGGAAGCCAGCCATGTTGCACCGCAGAGCTGCTGG